ATTTGAAATCGTTACAGCTATCTGTTCAATTCCTAGCTCAGAGATGTCTTCTCCATACGTTACACATTTCGTGTGATAATTTTATTATTCTCTGAAAGGGTATAATAAAAGGCCGCAACTGCAGTCCGCATGCCAATATCAGGCCCAATCTCTTACCCGAACCCACTAAACAATACTCTGGCAGCCGGCAGCCAATACCCAAACTCGCTTGATGTCAAATCGACGAAAACAATTTGTGCGACGTATCGAAATCTAATCAAATTATGCGTCAGAAATGTCGAAAAAGCGTGAAATGTTTTGCCAGCGGGCCAGAGTGCTTGCCTATTAACCCTGACCAGGTCCCAGCTGAGTCCGCTACGTTGCGGGGTGCGGGCTGGAGGGTTTATGGGGGTACTGGGTGCTGGGTGCACACCTGACGTTTCCAAAAATTGCATCAAAATTGCACCAAATAAGAAGCGATGCACAATGCATGGGCAAATGTTATGCAAAATGTGCGCAAAAGTGTTTGGCAAATAGCGAGTGTGTATCTGCATCTGTATCTGTATCTGTATCTGTATCTGCAAATATGTATTTCTATCGAAAGCTGTATCTAAGCCCGATGATGGGTAGAGTGTGCTCGCATTATTGGAACGCTTCAACGGAGCCAAACGAAACAGGAGTTGGGCATTTCGCTGTGCGGCTAAAATGTTTTTGTGCGGTTCGCTTAATGTGTTTTAACCATAAACCAACTCAACGCCACGCAAATCAACGGCGAAAAATGCAATAACAACAATGAACACTGAACCATGGCACAATGAGACAATGTTAAATCAAATTTAACATTTATTTAGGTTGAGGGAACAGCCTCCGCCATTCCTATTCTTAATTTTTGGATTTCCTGCTTCCATTGAAAATGGGAATAATAGCTTCGGGTATAACAGGCAGACGGAGACTGAGGTTTCCTAACCCATCAATAGCCGAATCTATACTCCACGTCCGTCTATATAAACGCTTCGTTCTCTGAGACTGATACATGGGTTCACCTATTGCCCCTGATCAAAATTATTTAAAATCATCGATAACTAAGTCTGTTTTCAGAAAAACGATAAAATTCTATACATTTTCAGATATGTTGTTAATGCATATCGCGGAACTCAATGGAGCTGGGTAAAGAAATATTTTAAAGCTCTTTAATATTCACAGATTCAAAGCATATCACCTCTTGGATATTTTCACCTCGTACTATTTGAATTCTAAAAAAAAAAAGAAAAAAATTGAGGTATCTTCTTGGGCTTTGGTACTTACACACAATTGCATTTCATATTATTGCCTCGACAATTTCTTAATGATTCGACAAGAAATACCAAAGCTAGTCGGGAACACATTTCCCATAGGATGGTGATAAGGAAAGAAGCACAGCCACAGAGTTAACTGCGCAGCAGGCTGCGTGGGTATAAAAGGAAGCTATGATTGGGCGCTGGGTTTAGAGTATCTCATAGTCGAGCACTTTCGGCAAAAGCTCTCATACTCGCTTTTAGCTGGCTTCGTTTATTTGTTTTGTGCGCCTAATTGCATTTGCACACACTCTATTAAAAGTTGTGTGTGTGTGTGTGTGTGTGTGTGAGTGTAATTGAAATTGCAATGTGTGGGCGCTGGCCAACAAGTGTTGGACATGTGAGCAGTTCATTTGGCCAACTATATGCTAAATTGTGCATGTTCCTGCCGCACCTTTGGACAATTGTTAACGGTCGCGTTTTAGATTGCCACAAAAACGCGTAAATGTCAATTACAACATTTTTGTTATTATTCAAAAAAGGATTGGCTGCAGAGTGTAAAAACAGCTCATGAGAGCTGTTTGTAAATAAATGTTTGCATATCTTCAAAAAATATTTAAAATTGCATAATGACTGCATTGGCAGTGCAGAGTGTATTCTGAGAGAGGCGATAGGAAGAGAAACCAGTTCTTCCTTTTCTTTGAGCATGATCTTATTTTTGTGTATGCTTATCTTTGATATGAACCCTGAACCCTTGAACTACCTGATCTACTTTTAATGCTCTGATCTGTTTAGGTCTGACGAACAGAATATCAAGTCATGACAAAATGCTAAAGAGAAGCAGCATCAATTATAATCAAAAATAATGGATAAAGCAGCATTTCATTCATAAATATAAATATAAATATATATATTATATTTTAATTCCTAGAAAATTCTCAAGTGTAAAAAGACAGATGCAGAATAGTATAAGATAGGAGGACAAGATACATGCTCATCAACTCACATCAAGGAATTATCGATAGTCTACTTTGTGACTCCAGAACTCGTTGAAAAGACAGTATAAAGTTAAAGTATAAAGAAGAGTAATAAATAATCAAAGGCATGGAATGTTTAAAAAAACCATCCTTAGAAATAAATACATTTCTTGACACAAGGTTAGAAGATATACTATATAGTCTAGGAAACATAATAGCTCCACCATTAACATTTTTAAAATTTTTTTTAACAAAGTTCCATAAATACTTTAAACAACTTAATTATTCTTCTTGAAACTATGATATTTTCTTCTAACAACTAAAAACATATTCATAAGCTCCTAAATCCAACAAATGTTATTCAAACATTGCTTGTGAGGGTATCTATTATTCATATTAAAATGTTTTCTAGATATGGCATGTTTTGTAGCTTGGTATATTGCAACTCAACTCTTGACACTCGACTCGATTGTGCTGTAATTAGGCGCTTTGGCAATTCAATTTTAGCCGGGCAGCTGGTTGAGCTAAACAAATCAAAAAACCAAATTTCATTCAATTGATGAAAAGTGCAATAAGAGACGAAAAAAAAGATTTGTCAAGCAAAAAAGATGCGATAGACAAAAGTGAACGGAAGTTGCCGGGCAACTTTCGACACACAGCTCCAACAAAACAATGAACCGAAGGTGGATCGAGAGGGGGGTTAGTTTAATAAGCCGTTGCAATAACAACAGAGATGCGTTTTCATAGTTGATGCATCCATGGAACTGACACGTTGCCTGGAAATTAATTTGAAAGCAGTCAACTTGTGCGAGGGGGGAAGGCAAGTGAAGAAGCTGAGCACATACGAGATAGATGAGCCAATGCACAACATTTTAGTGCCGCAGGCGAATACACTCACACACTGGCACTCATACATGCACATATTAATTAATTCAAAATTGAATTACGCATACGCACAGGTGTACACAGGCGACGCTTAAACTAAAACTAAAAGCCGAGTTGCTGCCACACACATTGCAGCTGCAAACACTTGGACAAAAGAGTCGTAAAATAAAAACACAGCATTCGTCGGGCCATAAACAAAAGCAACAAAAACCAAAGCTAACGAACCAACAAAAACAACAGCTAGAAGAAAAGGCTCTAAAGACTCAGCTCTAAACATTTTGTTAGAAATTAAGTCTGAATATGGCCAAACTCAGGTAGTTGTTACCTGGCAGTACCCCAGTGGGTGTACACACTGTACACCACACATGTCACACACTGTACCGCTGTCTTTGGCTTGGTGCACGGACCAGACCAGGCCAGACTAGGCTAGCCCAGGCCAGGCCTGGTCCGTGCCAGTTAAAGACTGTTTGGCCACTTAAGCTGCCCGCGCCGCAATGCAAATTATCTACCCCGGAGCTCCGATTTGGCTCGTATTTTCGGACACTTATTGTGCGACTGTCGTCTGGAGATTGTCGTCGTTGGCGTTGTCATGGCTGCCAATTGCAAGTTTGCTAGTTTGCAACACATGCCGCCCAGGACACGGTTGCCAACAAGACACAACACACACACTAGAGGTGAACCAGGGAAAAATCACTTGAACTGTTAGTTCCGTTTGTTGCTTGCAGTTGAATAAGTGCAGTGATAAGATACAGAAACTTCGGTTTAAATAAAAGGCTGCAAGCCCAAAAACAAGAAAAAGGTTGGTTCGGTTCACGATTCGAACTAGCTCGCTAGTTTAAGGTTTATTTCGTGACCTGGGTTTTTGTATCCATGAAAAGTTGTTTTGATAAAAACCTTGTTTTCTGGTATATTTTCGAAATGAACTATAAAAAACAATTCGCAAGTTTTATATTTTGCACCAAATAAAAAAACAATTATGGTCAATTCGGGTTTGGGTAACTGGTTAGATTTATGGTTCGGATCATCATTTAAAATAAAGTTTAATCTCAGATTCAGACCGGTTCACTAAAAATGGTTAGCAGCCTGTTTGAATCTTTAGTACTTATGCACAAGAGAACAAAATTAAATAAGCATGAACCAGTTGCCACGGACCAGTTTCTTCTCGATTTTTACTTCATTAACTGTCATGCCTTTAATATAAGATATAAAGTACTTAAATTAGTCCAAGCTACTAGCTTGTCTCAAAAAAAAAGCAACAAAACACACTGGTTCATTTGAACCGTGAGCCAGCTGAGTTGAGCCGAGTTGAACCTGTTATTTTTACTTTGACAGTAAAAACAGAAGAAATTCGAACCGGTTCGCTTTACACTTATATTTACAGTTGAGTAGCTCAGTTAATTATTTAAAGAATCAGTGCTCAATTCAGATTTGCATGGAACCTTTTTTCTCATAATTATTGCAATTGATACAGTTAACGAACGAATGAAATTTTATTTTAACGATACAGAAACCATTACAAACATACGAACCGGTTCACAAGAATCATTGCAACACATATATATATATCACTTTGAAAGTTTAACTAAAAGGAAGACAACATAACAAATGAATTAAACATAATACATTGATTTTGAAAGGCAAAAACTTTGACCATCTCTAGATTTTGCCCAGGTCTGGTCTCGGCTCACTAAGCGCATGTTGCACGATAAACAATATAAGGAAAAATTTTGAAAATTCACCCAATGCTATTTTATATAATAATAGTTTTTCTTGAACGATTATGACAGCGTCTGTGGTGGTCAGGCTTCGTTGGGTTTTCGCAGAAGTATTTTTAATTGTTCATCGAAGTTGAACAAAGCAGGGGGCAGCAGCAAAAGGCACCAAGACGCTTGACAATTTTTAATTTATTCCTCATTTAGTGTAAGTAGTGTAGGGTATACCTTACAATTCAACTAACTATGAATATATATAGATACATATACATATATATATATATATATATATAATACATACACATATATATACACATATGTACACATAGTTGGAAATGGAATAGCTCACACCTGACTATCTGATGAATACTTATGAAGCTCTGTTTCCAATTCAAAATATAATGACCATACTTTCATTTAAGTGGACGCCGACGGTCGCGGATCCTCCACAGAGACCAGCCAGCTGCAATTGAGTATTTCCCGCAGATCCCAGCGCGTCGCTGCATCTGGCTCCAACAGGACAGACACTGTAGCCTTGGCGTGCGGCGAAATGACATCCTGTAGCTTCCGGCGAAACGCGAACTTCTTGCCGCGTTGATCTTCCAGCAGTTTGGTCAGGTTGCTATCATCGAATGGCATCTTGGCATTCATCATTATAAACAATATGACACCCAGGGACCAGGCATCGGCCAACTTTGGATCGTATGGCACTCCACAGACAACCTCCGGTGCGGCATATGCGGCCGAGCCGCAATATGTCTCCGATTTCAATTGATGTCCGGTCTCGTCTCGACAATAGCGCGCGAACCCAAAGTCGGCTAATTTGACATTGAGGCGCTTGGAAAGCAAAATATTCTCGCACTTAAGATCACGATGCGCAATGTCATGAGTGTGCAGATACTTTAGGGCTTTCGCCATCTGAAAGAACCAGACCTTTGATTGCTTTTCATCAATCGGACCCGACTTCTTGATGTGCGTCAATAGATCGCCCTTTTCGGCGTAACGCATAAATATGAAGATTTTCGGACCACGCTGTAAGATGCTGTGTATCTGTATTATATTGGGATGATCCAGTTTCGTCAAGATCTCCAGTTCCCGTGGAAAAAACTTGTGCACAAAGTCGGTGGGGGCCTTGGCTTTATCGATGATCTTACAGGCCAGATTGACACCATGACCGCTCTCGTCCGCATAGCCGGCGGTGATCACAGTCGCATAGGACCCTTCACCGATCTTGTGGCCAATATTATAGCCACGCTGGGCCAGGGCGTCAATGTCGGAGCTGCGTGTGCTCAGCTGACGGCTGCCTCCATAATTGGTCATGGTTTATGGAAAGTGAGCTAAATCGATCGATATGCTGCCTATGATCTTTACGTGTACCAACTGCATTATTTTTGTGGGATGGAGGGCATAGTTGGTTAAGACGTTAGATGATCACTTCTTGTTGTCATATGCATATATGTATATTTACCGTTGTGTTGGATTTCCCTCACTAAACTTATGAATTTGATGGTACTATAATATAAAGTTGACAAAATTGCCTATTCCAATCCAGAAATTTTGACGAAATTACAAACGTTGTGAAAGAGCAGAGACAAATAATAAAATAACTGAAACTGAAACTGCAATTACATTCAATTTTGTTTTAACTGGCCATGTCTACTATGCTTTACTTTTTTCCATATAATAAAATACATATATCTTCAATTTGAAGTATTTAAAAAAACAAAATAATTAGATTAACTAGAGCAAACTACGTATATTTCAAATTATTTCAATGAAAACTCCTTTCAAAATCTTTAAAATACTTTACATACATTTTTTTGAGCATTAAATTAAATATGCTAAAAAAAATATATATAGAACAGGATGTACCCTGTAGCCAAGGCTTTGTGTTACCGCAAGTATGGATACGATCTTGTATGTGCGCATATAATTATATATATATGTATGTATATACTTCTGGTCGTAGTCGTATATGGAAATTCCACATAATTTATCAGATGATCATCAATACATATATATTTATAAAACTGTTCGTCTTAACCGCCACAAACCATACGAGTGCTAGCTACTTTTAACTCTGATAATAAAACCATTCTTAAAACCCAGCCCACGGGAATAAAATGTGCAATCGACTACAAATTCATTTTCAAATATTTATGTAAAATGTATTTTGAGATTAAGAATTCAAGGTAATACAGGTATATTCAAAATTGCTTAAAATGTGTGACATCATTAAGATAGGCACCTTCGATATATATATGTATATATATATATTCCTGATAAAGTCTACGAGCTAAGTGCATATAGACAAAATATCTTTCTTTCTAGCGATAACATATGGCATAGATAACATATTTCGATAACATATGGCATAGAGCCTTATTTTGCAGCAGGCAGGACATATGTATGTGTCCAACTTCAAAAGAGTTCTTTATATCATATGAGTACATAGATACATAGATCCACTTTAAAGTTGGACTCGCTCTTTAGATGCATCACCCATCGATCACGAATGAAGCTCTTGTGTGATTAATATTTGCAGTTTAAGCTAAGGTGAGCTTGCAATAATTGAAACTGGACTTCCATAATACCTATATATACTAACGTACTATGTTAGTATCGGGGGAGAGTTTATTTCCCAAATAAACATTTCCTTTCAAGAGTAAACCATCTATTTTTAAAAAACTAAGTTTTTTTATATTTTTATGACTTCGGACTACTGTATCATAAAGCTTACAGTAATGTGTCGAAAATACAGTTTCTGTGACTCAAATAAGAATTTGAATATCGTATATTTGTCATATATCTGCAAGTGTTTCAAATCTTTGCAACTGTTTTTTTCTACAATTTCTATTAAAGTCGTGTTACCAAAGTAAACAGTGCTTAGTTGCTCAAAAATACCCTTATATTATTTAACTTGTGCTCGTTATTTGCTTTTGTTCTGTCACGTTTTTATTTTGTCAAAATTTCTGGATTCGAATAGGAATTTTAGTTAATTTTATATAATATACCATCAAATTCCAGTTTAGTCAAGTTAACCAATGCAACGGTAAATATGACGCATACAACGAATAGCCAATACCCTCATAAAACAACATCCCCACCCTCATCCCCATATATAGTTGGTAAATTGAGAGGCACCATTAAATCATGTGCAACAATGGAGAAAGTGCCCAGATTCAGGGCACGCGCAGCTCTGATATTCACGCATTGGCCCAGCAGGGCTATAAAATCGGCAGCAAGATCGGCGAGGGCTCCTATGCGACTGTGATAAATGCCAACTATACGGAGGAGAATGGTCGCAATATCAATTTGGCCTGCAAGGTGATCGACAAGGAGAAAGCGCCCCTTGACTTTGTGGAAAAGTTCTTTCCGCGCGAGATGGATATATTGACGAAACTGGATCATCCCAATATAATACAGATTCACAGCATCTTGCAGCGCGGTCCGAAAATCTTCATATTTATGCGCTATGCCGAGCGAGGTGATCTATTGACCCATATCAAGAAAGTGGGCTTCATTGAGGAGAAGCAGGCTAAGATCTGGTTCTATCAAATGGCCACCGCCTTGAAGTATTTACACAGCTTTGATATTGCTCATCGGGATCTCAAGTGCGAGAACATTTTACTCTCCGAACATTTCAATATAAAGCTAGCCGATTTTGGTTTCGCCTGCTTCTGTCCCAACGGCAGCGGCGGACAGTCGTTGTCGGAGACGTATTGTGGCTCGGCTGCATATGCCGCACCAGAGGTTGTCTACGGAGTGCCCTATGATCCGAAACTGGCCGATGCCTGGTCGCTGGGCGTTATTTTGTTTATTATGTTGAATGGAAAGATGCCATTCGATGATGCAAATCTGTCCAAATTGCTGGAGGATCAGCGCTCCAGAAAGTACGCGTTTCGCCGCAAGTTGCATGACCTCATCACGCCACATGCCAAGGCTACAGTTGCTGTGCTGCTCGATCCGAATGCAACGACACGCTGGAATCTGCGCGAAATTCTCAAGTGCAGCTGGCTGCTGCTGGAGAAGGAGCAATCACAACAGCAAATTCAACAACAACAACAACATCAAATACAACAGCAACAGCAGCAAATACAATAACAGCAACAGTCGTCGACGTTAATGTGTATAACAATAATTGCCGGAATTTGTATATTGACACCCCACTCAAAAAAATTAATAGGTTTTAGTAGCAAAGTTTAATGACCGGAAACTGCATTGAACCCAAAATATTACAGAGCAATCGAAAAATTTAAAAAATAAAAAAACGAAGCTATATATTTATTTAAAGATTGTATGTGTATAAATTATTTTTTGATGGATAAAGTATTGATATAGATTATCTATCCGTTCGTCTGTCTAATTCTTGGCGAATTAGTCTCTCAGAACCAACGGATCGGTCTCCTATATCATATACATAGCTGCCATACAGTCGAAAATTTAATTCTGGTATAAAATATAATATCTTGACACCAAACCTTAGCAATTACTAGGTAAATTATGCTGTTTATATACGAGCCAAATCTTATCTATAGGAAGAATCGGTTGAATGCTCCACAAAAAGACTTTTAGTCACGGCTACGATATTCTGATTATAGAGCATTTACCAATCGTATTTGTCACTTTCATTAGATGAATTTGCCAATTCAATTAGATTTATGTAAGGCTAATAAAATGTCAAATCTTTTTACAGTTGCCTGCCTGTTGCCGCTGCCTCATGCCACGGCCGGTGGCAAGCACAACCACAGCGGTGTCATTGCAGACGCCGAGCTAAGCGCCTCGGAGCGTAATCGTCGCTTGATACCCTATATGGCCTTCTATTTGCCCGCACCCGAGCTGCCCATCAATCAGCAATATGCTGTCAAGCATGCCTCAGCCGCCGGTGGCTCACAGCTGCTGCCGCCCGCCGCCGCTGCCGCAGCACCCAGTCGCATTCCGGTGCCCGTTGCCTACATGCCACAGACGCATCCACAGCAGCCGCATCATCAGACGCCGCATTATCAGTCGGGCGCAGCGGACGTGTATCATACGCTGGCGGTGCAGCATGGCCCGTTGCCACCGCTGTCACCTGTGCACGGCAAGGAGACGCCAACGCCGGGCGCCACATTTATTGCCTACAAGCCATTGAGTCCAACGCACAAGGCAAGTAAAAAATAAAAAGTTAGTTTGCACCAGTCGGAAAGGCCCGATTGGCAGATACCCTGGAACCTAGCTACCTTTACAATTCATTCTCGCTTCATAAAAATACAATTTACACAGCGACCTTGCTCCTTTTTCTTAATTCTCCACAACTATGGGAAATACGGTCTTAATTAACTTCGGTTCTTTTGTCCGATCTTAATGAAATTGTCAGGGCTTACTATGGCATACAAAAATGTTTATATACCGAATTACAAGGAATTGTCTTTTAAAATAGGTTTCTATCAAATGGGAAAGGAGAAACGTTTCCAAAAACTCAAATGTTCTGGATTTGTGTATACTATAGGAGGTGGTATCTCCAGCTCTTGTACCCACCGACATCAACTAAAAAAATAGAATTTCAGTAACGACTTATATCAAGTTCATAAAAACAACCAAATTAATAAATTAAACTGAAAGATACTTGATCTATGCGGGGAATACTCGTCCTATTAAGACCTCATACTAGCTCAGTCAGATAGACTTATGAACAGATCTCTAGATCAGTTTGGCTTTTGATGCTGAACAAGGATATACACACAATATGGGGTCGGAGATACCTCCAGCTATGGGTTACACATTTCGCGACAAAATTATAAAAAGATAGTATTTCGATCAACTGAAATCACTTTAAGTTCAATTTAAGCTGCCAAATATTGCCAGTTACCTACATTTGCACACAATCATTCTACCCTTTTTACACATTTTCCATGGGTTCAGGGTATAACGAAAAAATTGCAGAGCATAAATAAAGTCAAATATAATCGTGAAAATCATAATATATATAAACAGCACAAGACGGTGCAGCATTTTCCGCCGCTGCCACAGCAGGAGCAGCAAGAGCACCCCCATCACCAGCAACAACTACAGCAACATCAGCAGCAGCCGGAGCCACTGCAGCAGCAGTACGAGTTGCTGCCACCGCCTCCGCAGCTACAGCTGCAGTTTCCGCGGCAGCGTGGCAAACAATCAAAAGTCAATTTAACGCCGTTTACAGCGCAGAATACGCTGCCGGGACACTTTATACCCATTATTTATACGCCGCTGAGCAAGCCGAACAGCAACAGCAACAACAACAACAACAACGACAACAATGAGCTGCATAATGGCAATACAATCAATTACAACAAAAAGCAGTCGCCATCGGAAATTGTCTACCATAAACATTCGCATCAAACACAAATTGTTACGGATTATGCAGGAGATGTGCCCTCAGCAGCCGGAGTTGCCGCCTCGCCGGATTCGCAGTCATCGGGGGAGGAGTCGCAGCCGGAGGAGGCGGTGCATGCGACGCCGAGGTAAGATTTTTTTGTATGACATACGAATACGCTGCAAATACGCTACCCTACAAAATGCAGACACATTCTTTGCGTGTATCTGTCAGATACTTGCTGGTATTTGTATCTCTGCATATGTCAGATACATATCTAGCATAGACATTTTGCTACTATTAGCAGCGCTCTGCCGATAGAATTGTTTCTGCCAGTTTCCCACACACATACACACACGCCTATCGCCACCCATCGACATCATATAATGATTGTTGTTGCATGTGCAATTGCATGTTGCAAACAAATTAAAAATGTTGCATCCACGTTTCGTCAACAATTCGAAAGCATATTTATGTACTTAGACTAAACAGGTCGAATCTTGTATACCCTATATTTAAACTCTCAACTAAACTCACATTTGATACCTTTTTCAATTGTTTCAATAATCAACATTTAAACGCTTATATAGATAATTTTTGATGGACTATTCAAATCACAAATGTTTAAGTATTAAACGAGAAAGTAAGGTTATTTTCGGAACTCCAAAGATTTAATTCCCTTGCGAATATTTAGCAGGTTTGCAGATATGTCGGCGTAGTGAAGATCGTAAATGCTGAGTTTGATCAAAATATCTTGGAAAACAGAATATGTTGTCATACAAGAACTTTATTTTCGATCGATCGTTCTTATAGCAGCTATATGATATAGTGATGCGATCCGGCCGGTTCCGACATACCATATGTACTGTCTGCAACAGAGAGACGGACCTATGCAAAGTTTCATGACGATAGCTTTAAACTGAGAGATTAGCTCGCATAGAAACAGACAGACGGACATAGCTATATCGACTCGGCTGTTGAAACTGATCAAGAATATATATGCTTTATGAGGTCGGAGATAACTCCTTCTATATGTTACACATTTCCAGACAAAACTATAATCCCCTTTGCGAGGGGGTATAAAAAACAAAAGGTAGAAATAAATAAATAAAGAAAGAAAAGAATTTTAAATACTCCTGCAGACTGAAATCAAAATTGTCCCATACGGAATATTTCTACATTCTCTTATTTTTTGCTTTTCTTTATTTCTATAACTTGAAACACTTTCTTTATTTCTTTGAGCGTCTGTATTAAACAAGATCGAGATTGATTCTTTGGTATATATAAAATAAGTTGATAGTGTTCCGATTCAGCCGATTCTTATATGTGTACTATTTACAACAAAAATACAGATCTTTCTTAAGTTTCATCAATATAGCTTGATTAAATTATTTACCTGGTCGGGTCGGAGATGTTTGCTTTCTTCGTGATAAAAGTTCGGTTTACGAATATAATACCAAATACGAAGCTTATAAAAAGATTCAAATGTAAAGAGATTCTCATTTGTTCAAATCTTGAATTTGTCAGTTTCGAGATGAAGTTTGCTTAGAACCTAGTACAGTTCGCTTTCGAAACGGTTTGCAATATTCGATTTTTCATGAACTAGAATTTAGGATATCTATCGTTAAGATATTTATTTTTACGAATGTAAAGCTAGTGTGTTTTATGATAACTATTGTAAAGATATTTTGAAGAATGTAAGGCCAGAGTTGTCTTTAATTATGTCGTTTTTGTAGAGATTCGGAAATATGTTCATTTTCCATATACGTAATTAAAATCATATGCAAATCTATATTGTCAAGTCTGTCGTTGGCTATGCTAAAATGCCATTGTTTACAAAAATTGAAATACATGAAATAGTTGTGACATTTTAAATAAGTAAAATAGAAAATTAAAGGTAGTATAGAGAACGTTTGTGCAGCACCGAGCTGCCGTTGTCGCCGCAGCGACAGAAACACGGCACAGCACACGTTGCACAGGTTGCATGCAATGCCCTTGGGCATAGAATTCAATTGCATTTAATGCATTGCCTCAACCTCTGCTTCTGCTTCTGCTTCTGTCTCAGTCACTGTGCCTCCACCATCTCTTTTAATGTCTCTGACGACATTCGGTCTGGTGACGTAAGAAGCTGTTTGCTGTACCCCACGAGGCGCCGCCAAAGGGGCATACAGTGGGCGTGTGCTCTGAATGCACTCAATGCTCTGGTCGTGCATTGATGAGCGCCTCCTTCATCTCGTAATTTTCACAAATTGCAAAATCATGTCATAAACAACCGCAGGCAAGCTGGTCAATACAAAATATGTATATATGCATGCTACAGGTCAGCAGCTGTTTTTACAACCCCTCAAACGCACCATGCAACCCAACATGAATACAGTGAAAGCTGCCTGGGAGCGGACACTTACCGCTTATAGCCCACTAGCTGTGATAGGAACAGGAAACAATATTATTATATTATGTTATATTATTATCAAGTTTAATTAATATTGGCCGGCTGAAGTAGTTATCCGCCCAAGGGAGCTGTCCCTTAGTAGAGCTTTCACTGTACACACAACTCATACGCTTTTGCATGTGTCCCGCAGCATTGGCTATAGCGTGTACAATGAGCCAGCCGTTGTGTCATCAGCCTCTGCCACCACATCAGCCACTTCATCGAAATCCACAAAAACCGCATTGATAGTACACCAAAAGTCGCCGGCATATGGACACGTGAGCAAATACGAGAGTTACTTCAACATGTCGCCGGATCAGCAGCAGCAGCAGCCACAGCAGCTGACGCCGCAGGAGAAGTACGTGCTCTACTTGCAACAGCGCATGAAGCAGCAACGGCAGCAGCAACAGCAGGAGCGCTTGCTACACCATCATCATCAACATCATCAACAACAACAACAACAACAGCTGGCGCAAAGCAATACGAAAGCTGGCAAACATCCACACAGTCACCCACATACGCCAACTGCAGCACCACCTGCACCACCATTATCACCATCCCACCACAGTCAGTTACACAATTACAATGGGCTTTTCGTGCGCCCGGAGGCAGCACAGACAGCGCAGCAGCAACAGGTGCTGCATATTCCATTGCGCGCCCTCATGGGTCAACTGCATGAGCAGCCAAAGGACTCGCTGCTCGGGTAAGTCCAAACACAAGGAGCCATTCGAATGCCTGAACATATGCTTGGATTTGCTTTTTCTCAGTCCAACTTTTATTAGCCTTCTCTCACTTATTACCCCTCTCTTTGTAACACAGCTCACCCGCGCCGCCCCACTTCATCGATTACCTCATCGATGGACCGCGTCAGTCTCTAGACGAGGAGCAGCAGCAACAACAGCAGCAGCAACAACAGCAGCAGCAGCAGCAGCAGCAGCAGCAGCAGCAGCAACAGCTGTCGCATCAGGAACACTCTCAAGTCGCACCCTCGCATGCGCCACAGCACGCCTACATTTTGGTAACCACCTCAGCGCCCTACACGGAGCATTCGCAGCCACCCCGATTGCCTGATTTACAACCCACCCGTGCACCTGTGCTATACAAACATCAGCCCACGTTGCGACTGCAACCGGTGACGCCTGTGCACAACTACCAGGCCACCCGGCGGCCCGTCTATATAAGTCCGCCCACTCCCAGCGAGACGGTCAAGATTACGCCCAAGTATGTCTATGTGACCAGTAAGCCGCGGCCGTCGCCGCCGCCACCATCTGTCCACAGCGAGTCGCCCCAAGCGCCGCCTGTTAAGCTCAAACCTATCCCCAAATACACGCCAGAGCGTCCGCCTGCTTCGGCACGACCAAGTCAGGTGTTCGCCACGCCGGATGATGCCGATCAGCTGCCCGATATACGCACCTCCTCGCTGGCAGAGATTCTGCATAAGCTGCAGGCGAGCAACCACCTGCCGCAAACCCTCACACCCGATAACATAGACAACTCCATCAAGACGCTCATACGCATCCTGCAAAATCTGAAGCAGACCCAAACAATTGTACCCAACCCTCCCCAGCATCATGAGACGAAACACAGCAGCAGCAACAGCAACAGTCCCGACTATGATTACAACACGGGCAGCGAAGAGGAGCAGCAGCACACGCCGGCAAAAGTGGCGGGCAATGTCGATGCGGATCTGCTGCAGCTGAGCGGACCAAGTGAGTTACTTTCCACTATCTAGGAGTCTTAAAGGAGACTAGTATTAAGGATCAACTGTTTCTTTTAAAATGCAAACTATCTGTTTCGGTAATGTCAATGCTTGTGTAGATTTAAAGCCGTTCGCAAATTTGCAAATTCGCCCATTTTCCATATTTTTTGTCGAATTGCCAGAAATCTTAAGAAAATGTCATAATTTTTTAAACCGAGCCGATAAATAGGTATAACCAAAAAGTTTTGCAGCTATTTTTCTTTCACCACATTTCCACAAAAGGTCACGGATTTCCTAAAATTTGAAGAAAATGTCTTAAAATATTTGAAAAGATGTTCTAGACTGCGCAAACAAAATCAATTTAAAACAATAGTTGTAGACCTATTTTCCATAAAAATTTCAATCGATGTATTAAAATTTTTGAAATAATATAAATTGATATTCAATAAAAAAAAAATAAACAGTTTTACACCCTTTTTTCACTTTTGTAAGCGTAACTTCTTACAAATAATTTGATCGATTGAATATTGTATTGTCAGCCATTTTTCACACATGAACGTGAATTTTACGGAAATTAGTCGAAAATTAGAAATTAACCCTTCTCCCACATTTAAGAGGGAATTTAGTTCTGTTCTAATATTTTCCATTACTTATTGCATTGCATTTTGACAATTATGTTATTAATCTTTTATCTTACAGATAAACATCCGGGTCCTAGCACAGGACGTGCCGGCATTGATTATCCCAACTACGCGGAAATTCCAAAGACAAGCTTCGAGTGCACGCAGCAGCGTTACAAGGGTTTCTTTGGCGATCCGGAGACCAATTGTCAGGTGTGGCACTATTGTGATCTCAATGGAGGCAAAGCCTCATTCCTATGCCCCAATGGCACCATCTTTAGTCAGGTAAAGAATAAAAATCTGGAAAGCAAATCTTGAACCATAATCACACTCCCCATTTTTTAGATTGCGCTGACCTGCGATTGGTGGTTCAACGTGAAGTGCTCAACCACTTCCCAATTATATGTGCTAAATGAGCGTCTGTACAAGTATATACTGCCCTTTAATCCTAAATTCCCCGAGGATTACAATGGACCCATTGTGGATAAGTAAATGCTAGCCAAAATAAAAGCTATAAGCCGATATATTAACAAGCACTTTAACTGACGTTTCAGATATCTGGCCATGAAGTTCCAGGAAATGGAGGAGAAAATGCGCCTGGATAAGCAGCGCAAGGCCAATCAGCAGGCGGAAAAGCCGGCAGCCCGCGACGAGGCCTCCACGCCCGCATTGCCCAAGAACCACAAGCCGTCACCGAAGCACGGTAGCGGCATCAATGCTCAGGTCTATGAGCAGAGCTCGGAGCGCAATCTGCTCATCGATGATGAGATTGATGACATCTCGGAGCGCGGCACCTACGACACATACGGCCAGGCGCCAACCACTATAATAGCGCCCATAACAACAACAACGGGCCAGGACACGCAAACGCTTGGCCTGAGGCCCATTGTGGTATCTTCCACACCGGAGCCAGAGCTGGAGCTGGAGCCGGAGTCGGAGCCACTGCCAGGTGCCGATCCCGAGCTGGAGGCGGACACTGAGCTGGATGGCGATACGCCAGAGAGCAGTGAGGAGGTGAACAAGCTGCAAATTTTGCGGGACACAAATACGGCCGCCGGCCAAAAACAGCTCGAGACGACAAAAGTAAGCGTCGAGAAGCTGGAGGTGATTGAGATTAAAACGGACGGCACAACCGGACACCTAATGCCCATTGTCAGTGGCATGGCGGAGAGCAGTGAGCAGGCGAGAAAGTGACGGGGGGAGCAACAATAAGAGAGCAATAAGCCTGGTTGGGAATGCTTGCCATATTTGTAATGAGAGTTCTTGTACTTGTTCGTTTGTTGATTTTTGGACGCCTTTAAATTATTCTTAGCGAGCGATTACTGTAAATAGCTAAACTGTAAATGAAACAATAACTATCTATATACTATACCTATAGAAAAACAATTAGATATAGCATGTAATTAAAATAAAGACCCAAGTATTAAGTAAACATTATGGAATCAACATTTACTCACCAGCCGCGCATTGTTGATTTGCATAAGAGCCGCGTCTATGGAGTTTATTGTAGTTGGAATCTCGGTGACATAACGATGATTCTACAAATAGATCAAATTTAGTGTTGGTTCTATTGATGCGGAATTAAAGTCATTTTATAAGCTACATAACTTAACTATTACATGTTCATCTATAATTCGTCCGTTGGGGTGGATTTGAATTTTTCACCCATTTTTCACTCTTGTGGGTTTATTTATATTAACCCAGTTAACTAGATATATAAGTTGTCCTAGTGATTAAGTCTTTTGGGCAACAAAACAAATAGTATGCGGACTTACACGCAAGGCATGTGTATTTGAAGTAGAATTATCTTAGACAAAGGTTTATGTAGCACAGTACTTTTAAAAGTCAGTATGCTAATTTATAGCCATTTGTTAATTATAAGTCGAAGTCAAAATAGAACGCTTCCGTTCCAGAGCTGTTTTTATATTCCACATAAAAAATTTATAAATTAATGATTAGGATCTGTAATTGCCGTGCAATTACTCCAAGTTATTAAGAAGTAACTATCAATTAACTTGAGGGAATATAATCATAACTTCTGAATAAGAATTTTCTAAAATATTTGTCTTTCTAACTTGCAAAAATATCCAAACTTCTATGACACAAAATTGATAAAAAAAAAAATAAGATATACATATGTGGAAATCTAAATATCTGAAAGTTCTAGGCAGTCAAGAGGACTGCCTTATAGAGGGGGTATGGGTATGGCCTAATTCATGATTTGAGAGAAAATGTCCAATAGCAGTGTCCGTTAGGAGAGTTATCGCCGCATTGAGTTGTTATAGAGGAATATTGCCGTCAGCTAACTAAAGGGCTTATATTATTTCTGTACTATAATCCTTCAGAAGGGTAACCTGTACCTGTACCTGTGCGTGTACTCACCATTTCGCCAACTGTGCACGTGATATGATTGCCATGGTGTCTGGTTACGCACAAGTCGCAGCTGGTTCGCTTGCATGTGGTACAGTAGATATGTGCCGGGGCATTGTGGGCGCTGCACAACAGCTGGACGGGCATGCGAAAGATGTCGTTGCCGACACGAATGCCCTTGGAGGCGCGCTTCTTATCGACGAGTCGCTGAAAGACGTGCGTCTTAAGGACGCGACTATGATGATGCACCGTTTCGAAGCAGCGTTTGCAATAGAAAGCATTGCACTGCTTGCACTCGCCGCCCGCTGCACAGTGCCCGCACTCGCTGCACTTGGTCTCCAGCACAATGTCGCTCATATTGGACGGGCAAACCAGCGAGTTGTTGACCGCATCCACCGAGTAGCGGCGATAGTACTCGAGGCTGTTTGTCTCGCCCAGCACATGATAGTTCAGCTCGTAATAGTCGCGTATGTTTCCCACATATTTGCCATTCGGATCCTTGGCGGATATTGTCGGCTGCGCCGAGCTGAAGCAGACGGCGCATTTAAAGTCCATTTGCTGGCGATGCTTCGAAATGCAAAATTCGCACATATTATGACCGCAAGGCAGCAAAAAGGGTCGATGATTTTCTGTTGAAAGCATGAAAGAACAGTTTTTAGAGTCAAAGTTAAAATACGCTTGGACAAATATATTTTTGGCCGCAAAACTGAGTTGCCAGCGAGGTGCTGCCATTTTAGCTTCTCATTATAAGCAAGAATACATATCGATCATTTGTTTGAAGACAAAAAAAAACTGAATTTTACAGACTTAGCAGGAAAGAGAAAAAGTTTATATCCTCTTAGGGAAACAGTATACGACAAATATTTACACAATATAACGAATATTTCTGCATTAGGCCGAAAACAGCGTTTGTTTACTTATGGTAGCCTTCACGTAAATGACTTATGTATGCTTTGTTACATATTTTCGCACCAAATTAATATACCTTCTTCCAGGGTATTAGATTGTTGCCAACTGATATATTGATATAAAACAAAAATAAAAAGGCCAATTGGCAATAAACAGTTACTGGTAGTTATTTTCAGATAGATGGCAATAAACAGATCAGACAGTTTTATATTTCAGCCTATGAAAATATAGCCAAATATAGCTGGGAAACAGCTGTTCAGGCAACACTGGCCCAGGGTATAGAAACTTCCGTGTTTAGAAGCAGCGCAAAAGTAAAAGACGCAAAATTGAGCGAGCATCGCACACATTCATACTTACATACATATACAAAATAACGGTTTGTTGGTTACGCACTCAGGCCAATTTGAATACACACACACAAACATCTACATACTTTGTCCGCAGAAGTCTCAAGTTTTCATTAACAATTCCAATTGCCTGTCGTTTAGCAAAATCAATGTTAAACTAAATTTTCCAATTCAAGCTGCTACACATTTAACCACTAAATTAATCGATCTTCTGCCAGGGTACAGAAAATTCTCCTTGTTTAGAAGCAGCGCAAAAGCAAAATTGGCAAAATTGAGCGAACTTCGCACACATTTAAACAGACAAAATAACGGTTTGCAAGTTATGTACACACATCTAATTGAATGCACGCAGGCACACACACATGCACACATACATTTTGCCCACAGGAGTCTCAAGATTTCATTAATAATTTTAATTGCCAGGCATTTGCTTAAGCAAATCCAGTTAACGATAGTCTTTACCTGCTGCCACTCCTTTGGTATGCTTGTGCGAATATTCGCGCGTACATTTTGGGCAGCGCAATTGACTGCGCAAATTGGCTGCCACAAATTTGCGATCGAAAAACTTAACACCACTGTCGTCAGTGATCATTTTTGCTGCCTTTACAGTTTTTCTTTATTCAATAAACACAAAAAGATGGCCGCAAATGTAATTTTTCCAAGATGCCTGAGTAACTAAAATATAAAATTGGCCGGCTAAATAAAAGTGTGCGTCAATACTGATTGGCTACAGTGTTGGGTAAGCGCGCGAAGATCACTGGTTCATTTGGTGAGTCAGTTGCTCAAGGAGCGACTGCACAAGTGCTGGTATGTTGTTAACGTACAAAATTAAGTTAAATTCGCAAATGAAATCGTTAATTCATTGTTTTTTTTATTTAAATTGCCAAGTCATATATTCAGCACTTTATTTTTGTAAATTTATCAGCATCACAAAAATAATTATATAACAATTTATCATGTTGTTTTGACAAGCAACAAAAATAACTAGTTCAATGAAAATGTACGCTGTACTAGACAAAATGAATGTAATCATTTCATTCTTACTTACCTTTGGATTTGTTTAGCAAACGTTTTAAAATAAAAGCTGCAATGGAATATTTTATTATATTTTTTATTGCTTTATACACACACCAAAGATTACACCACCGAATTAAAATAAGATAAATATTTTTTGTTATTAACCAAACATGGAATCCATTAGATTATCTTGACGCTGACGTCGATTGTCCGCATCTTGCTGGAAACGTCGCAATTCCTCATAAACCTCATCGTCCGTTTCCTGCGAGCATAAAATATTGGAGTTATATTGTCGCCAAAGACTTTAATAATATTTTATACTTACGAAGATGAAGCGGCAAATGGGACAGGAGTTTGCCTTCACAGGTGAGTGGGTAGAAAAATTAATACAAAAAATTATATTCAGATATTAAAAAGGTGCCTACCTTCTTCAACCACAGCAAAATGCAGTCTTCGTGGAACTCGTGCTTGCATGGCAAGATCTTGAATTTTTCGCCGGCTTGCGCTGGCTCTTTGCACACGGCGCACTCGAAATCCTCTTTGACCTCGTCGGCGGCAATTTCATGGATCGGGAGCGCTTCTATAGCCCGCTTGGATGCCTCCGGCACCTCGATCTCCATATCAATGCCATTCATGATGGCCAGCACCTGGAGACGGCGATAGTGCCGGTCAAAATCGTTGGCGCCCTCCGGTCCTGTGGGCGTATGGCCCAGTTCCTCAAAGTAATCGGCCATAATGCGCTGATCTCTGCAAAGGTGTATCAAAATTTTGAAATATGTATGTACAATTTTTGACAAGCTCAAGAAAAACTTAGTATATCCTTGTTTTTTTTTAGGGGTTTGTAGAGCCAAATGCCATTTTATTTGAAAGTCAAATTAAATCGTATACAATTTCTCTCATATGTAAGTACAATAAGTTATAGAGTTTGAACTCGATCTCAACTATATGTAGATATAGTTGACACTGATCTGCGTAAAGCCTAGGGCTTAGTGTATTTAGTAGCTAGGAATATTGTAAGAGGTCTTTGCATTTAAAATGTGTTCTAGAGCTATGATTAGTTTAAAAGTTTCCTTCAACTAGTCTAAAATTACAGGCATATACTGGCATCTCGGGATTGCTACAGACTCTATAGTTCAGGTTTACTGTATTTTTAGACAAGGTATCGTTGAGCTGAGCTGAGCTTAGTGAACTTAAAGACCATCAAATGAATATTTGAATGTAAAGACAATTTATAATTAATGCAATATTAATAGAAACCTATATTTATAGGAATATTTCCAGATTTCTTTCTGCCAACTATGGAACTGAAAACTAAGAAATGCATTTGAATTTGAATTTTTGGAAGTATTAATTTCCCATCTAAAATCGATTTTTATAAATTATAAGCTATAAAATACCACAAAATTATCTCATGCACAAAAACTAAAAAAAAAAAAAATAAATACTTAAAATACCAAAATCTAAAAACCCTTGAAAGAAAAAACACAAAATGAATTTGTTGTTCTCATTTGTTTTCTTCGTTTTTTTTTGTTGTTGTTTACTTTATATGCTATAAGTATGTGGTTTAATATTCATTAGATGTATTTTTTACTGTACTTCATGAACAATTAAATACAATCTTTTTTGCTGGCAAATATAACTAACGATAATTGGTAACTAATTTAGCTGCTGGCGACAAAACTGTACCACTTGAACAAATCAATCGACTTAAAGTTTTACGGGGGTAGTAGGCGGGCGGGGGGACAAAACTTACGACTTAAACTAGTTTAGAACGCTAGAGAATAAATTA